CCCCCCCCTTACTGCTTGAAGTGGTCCTGGCCATGCAGGGGGGAAGAAGTGCCGGCTTGGAGTTGGTGGTTGTGGTGGTTGTGTTCGCTGTGAAGGGCCTGAAGGCCACGCCGTGGACAGTCTCTCTAGTGAGGATGGAGGGGGCCACGAGGAAGAGCGGTGAGGCACGTGGGCTGGGGCTCAGGTTGCCATGATGTGAGCAAGGGCCTTCCTGTGTGGGCAGAGTAGGCAGGTGCTGCAGGCTTCCTCCGAAGGGGCCACCTGAGCAACGCCCAACAGAGAAGCTCCATCCCGGGGCAGAATCCTAGCAGCAGCCCAGTAGTTGGGACCCCCATCTGCCTGACCCCACTGACCCCTGGATGCTTTGTGGGCTGGACTCTCATGCCAAGAGAATGTCCAAGCCGAGAAGTCTGTCCAGGGCCCAGGAGTCTGGCTGCATGGGGTTTGCAGGCACAGTAGCCTCCTGGACGGAAAACCAGCTCCAAAAACCGTGTCCAGGTCAGGAGGCCAGGGGTGAGTTGGGTACAGCCCTTGAGCCAGGAAAGGGGAGACTCTTCCAAGCTCTCCTCTGGCCAGACCTTCAAAAGGTTGATTTGTTTGGGGACTATAAGAACTCTCAGAAACACCACGGCCACCAGCAAGGGCAGTGGCCATGCTTGCCGTAGTCTTCTGGGAGTTGTAGTCCAAACAGATAGCCTTTCCTTGCTCTGCTTTTGGCAATGATGCTCTTGGCATGGAAGGGCTAAAGAAAGAGTGCCTCTGGAGCTCTGTGTGTGTGTGTGTACTTCTTCTTCTGCTGTGGCGGCATCCCTCTTCCCTCCCCTTTGCTCCCCCTCTTCCTGGTAGATTTTGGGTATCAGGTGAGCCTCCAGGGCAGGAAGCCAAAACCAGGCCATCTGAAGGCAGAGGGCAAGGGCCAGGGGATGCCTAGGCTGGAGGCAGCTCTCTCAGCACTGTATGCCAGCCAGGGGTGGCACTTGATGGACCCTCTGGTCTCACCTAATTTCCCAGATTGGGAGTGTCCTGGGCTGCTCTGTGGGCACTCCTGCCCAACTGCCCATGATGCCCCCCCACCTGTCAATAGAGGAAGGCAGCCCTGTCCCATGCCTGCTGAGCTGCTGGGTGCCCAGCTCCTAGCCCTGATGGAGGCAGCGGTTGTTGTTGCTATTTTACAATCTTCCTTTGCCCCATTCCAGGATTCAGGGTGGCTTGTGTGTGTGCGTGTGTGTGCGTGCGCGTGCCCTCAATTTGCCTGCCCACTTATGGCAACCCCATGAATTTAATGGGGTTTTCCTAGGCAAGGAATACTCAGAGGTGGCTTTGCCAGTTCCTTCCTCTGAAAGAGAGCCTGCAGCACACAAAGTCTAAAATGGATACAGCGAAAAAATATTGCATCATGCAAATGTTTAAAAGATAATTAAACTAACAATAGAATTAAATACAGTTGAAAGTAAGGCCATTAGAAAGCCGACAGTAAGTACAGACAACACAGCAATTCTGAAAGGTCCTCTTTCCCCTTAGCAGTCAGCAACCAAATGCCAGCCGAAACATTGCCCATGGAAAGACAGCAGGGAAGTGTTCCCCCCATTTGTCCCTGTGAGACGGTGGGACGGAGCGAATACAGTCCTTCAGTTAACCCGGACCCAAGCCCTACAAGGCTTTCCAGGTCATCACCAGCCCTCTGAATTGAACCCGGAAACAGACCCGCAGCCAGTGAAGCTGTTGCAATCAGGGAGTTGTATACAAGCTCAGGATTTCTAAACACTCAGAGGACGGATGGCAGCTTCCTGGGTCCTGGAATGTGGTTGGGCCATTCTGACAAGACAACAACAACAACCAGCTGGGCAGCCGGGCAGCCAGTAAGCCAGTCCCTCCCTCTGATTCACCTGCAGCCTCATTAGAAGGAGTGAGTGCCAGTCCTCTCCTTCCTCACCCCAGCTGCTGTTGACCTCCTCTGTGTTTTTATGGGGCTGCTGCAGGCTTCACAAGAGAAGGACCTATGTGCGGCAGCACCCATCCCAGCTGCAAGAGGGCGGTGGGGTCCTTGCTCCTGGAGCCCCTCGGTCTTTTTGGAAGTCAAGGACACACAGGACCAGGCCCTCCTCCTCCTCCTCCTCCTGGGATCCTGCCTGCCCTTGGGTCCCCTTGATCCCGCCATGAACCCTTCATGGCTGAGCCTGGAACTTCTGGTGAGAGGGGCACTTCCTGCATTTGGCCCCGGGAACCGTGTGACATATCCCCCCAACCGTTCCTGGAGTTTTACTGTGTTTGGGGGTCAGGGCATTTGAGAGACAGCATAGCATAGTGGTTTGAGCGTCGGACTATGACTCTGGAGGCCAGGGTTTGATTCCCTGCTCTGCCATGAAACCCACTGGGGTGACCTTGGGCAAATCACATGCTCTCAGCCTCAGAGGAAGACAGTGGTTACCCTCTTCTATGACAGGTTTGCCTTAGGGTCATCATAAGATGACTTGAAGGCACACAACACACACTCACACAGAGGAAAAGATTCCTGGCACCCTGAGCTTCGAAAGAAAACAACAGGCCAAGACAGGCACCCAACACACTCACAGTCCTCCCTCTCTGTTCCCATTCCAACCAGATTCTCCCCAGACCCACACACCCACCACCCAGGCAGCCCTCCTTCTCCCTGCCTCCCCACATCATCCCTCACAGCAGCCGTAACAGGCCCTGGCATGCCGGATGCCTCCTACCTGCCTGCCTGCCTGCCTGCCTGTCTTCCAGGTTGACGTACCTGCCGTGGGGCCCCAGCCGCTCCCTCTCCTTGGCAGCCAAAATCCTGGGGAGGGTGCAGCCCCCCAGTGCCCATGGCTTGTGCTCACCCCCCAAGAGGGCCGGTGCCCTTTCTGCGCACTTCTGGGTGACACAGGTGCCTTCCTTCCCAAGTGACGGTGTAGCAATGGGGCTTGTGTGTCAGCTGTCCGCCCTGCCTGGCACACTCCCTCATGGCTGTGTGGCAACCCCAGCAGGTGCAAAAGGAGAAGGAGAAGGAGAAGGAGATGGAGAGAGGAAACTGGGCTGACCTGAAAGGGCGCTCGGCTTGGCTTGGCTTCCCTGCTCAGTGGGTGCCTGAAGGCAGGTGGAAGCCTGGCCCTTCGGTGTCCTGAGAAGTCCCTCCAGCCCTTAGAGGAGACGGACGGTTCCCTTGGGAAAAGAAAGAAGCCTTCTTGACCTGGCCAGTGAGGCCATCCATCCCCAGTCACCTGGCAGCCGCTCCCCAGTAACTCTGCTAGGCCCCAGCCAGTCTCCCAGGGCAGCCCCACCCCTGGGAGGGAAGGAGGGAGGGAGGGAAGGAGGGATAGAGAGAAGGAAGGAAGGAAGGAAGGAAGGAAGGAAGG